AAGAAGATATTGCACAAAATATAAATCATCTCAACTATTTATGGATTATAAAATTTTGTATTTGTAGTTTATCTTCCTTTTTTTCCTTCTATCAGTAGAAGGAAAAATAGAGTAGATGTCTATAAAAATATAACATTTTTCAAACAAATTAAAAAATAAACACTTTAATAGAACTAAAAACTTTTTAATTCAAGAAAAATAAAGGAACTTCTAATTAAAATAATTAAATTAATTTTCCATTTTCAAGAACAGATTTAAGGAACTGATTCATTGATTTTTATCCAGAAAGAATTTGTAGTAACATGCAAATTGTTCAATGTGATTAGATGACCGTGGGGGATGATTTGAAATACAATCAGCCAGTTGATACCAATTTGATAGGATCAAGAGGAAGCCACAGACAACAGAAGTTGGAATGGATATATAGTTCGATGACGTGATGAAAAAATATATTTTTAACCAATCACAGTTGACTTAGTTATTAGTCACAGCTGAACTAAAATCAGTGGCAATCATAATTTTCACAAGTAAATTACAAACATAATAGTAATGTATTTACATAAAAAATTATATAAATTATTTTGAAACTAAGCACGTTTGTGTGTAAAGTGCTTGACAGTTGTGTCGGAATTACTTATGCTCGACAGCAGCTGCATTCAGAGAACAGAAAAGGGGGTAAAGACTAAAGCGAAAAATTTTTGAAAACGCACTGTTTTTTTATACTGATGCCACGTAACTACATGTCTAATCCCACTTTTGCCACATTTATTTGTCTATGTTCTTGTTTATTTTATTTTTATTGTTGTTTAAATTCTTACAGAGTAAAAAAATTTGGAGCCTATTTGGAGCCTAAGTGTTTTGAAAAGATAAGACTTTTTTCAATAATCAATCGACTCAAAAACGCCAGTTTGCCGACACGAAATCACTTTTTTTTCAAACGTTCAAAGTTCTGTTTCACGTTATTACAGATCAATGTACTCAATTTGAATCACAATTATTTGCTGAGTTGTTGAACAATATCGGTTTCCATAGACTTAAAGTACAATATTATATCAATTACAGGCAAATGGAATGATTCAGCGACTGTAGAAACTCCAAGAGTCACCAGAGAAAAAATGGTTAACCTCACCCCGTTGTCGTTCAAGGCATTCGTGTGGTAATTATCATCACCATCATACATACAAATCATGCGATAAGCATTCATAGGTTAATCTCCTCAAAACTAGCTCGCTGATTGGTCAAATCCGACCAATCAGATATCCTGCACGCGATGAATGAAATTTCCCACTTACTAAGATTTGATCCAGTCACGCGATACACCACCTTATATAAACAAAACACGTGTAAGCTCTCTCTCTCTCTCTCTCTCTCTCTGATTTCTCTTCATTCATCTTATTCCTTGCTGCCAAGATGCAATCTTCAAGAGCTCCCGTCTTGACCATGCGGTCAGACGTTAAAGAACATTACCATTTCACTCAAGTACGAACCCTTAACTCTTCTGAACTCTTACCAACTTTACTAATTCACTTCTCCTAACATGCAACAGGAACTTTATTCTTCTAAAACTTCAGTTTAATAATTACTTCATCTTTATGAGCTCCGGAACAAATATTTCCAAAATCTAAGAGACATAACTCATTCAAACCTTCAGCTTATATGCATGTACATCAGCACTAATAAATTCAATTGTTATGTTTAGGACCATTATGTTCTGTCTTGTATTTAATACTATGTGCTATTTTACGTCAAATATAAATTGCATTGTGACCGCTACATGTTTGATAACCTCCAGCGTCTTTGCTTGTCCTTTTCCACGTCATTCCCAGTCAAAGATAAATAATTGTGGTGATGCGCGCTACATTCGTAATATACCTAGAGAGTCAGGTTATTCCTGAACTCATTGCTTGTCGAATATTAATTATTACAAAATTGCAACATCGTAATCTGTTTATCTTGTCTTGTAACAGAATCGCAACTTAACCGATATTATTAAACTTTATCGAAAAATCTCTACTCACGATATTGTAGCATACACGTTGCTTTGCATATTTGAATTGAAACAAACAGAAAGAAATAGAAAAGATAAAATAGATACTTTAAAAACTTACAGCATTTTCAAGTAAAATAATAATCTATGTGTAAATTACTGAAACGATTTTCTGTAGTTATTGAAAGTATCTATTTAGTTAAAAAAAGAAAAAGAAATATGGATAAAAATTATGCAAAAATTTAATGAGAAACAAGGTCAAAAGAAGTTTTTTTTGTTGCTGTTTTTTTTTTTTTTTTTTTTTTTGTCCTTAGAAACTTTCAATTCAGCAATAAGTTTTTGTTATATCCCGAAAAAGATAGAAAGAAAAAGTACGATGATTTTTGAGAATGTAAAAATCAAAAACGGAATTTGAGAATTTCAAATTTCTTCATTGTTTTTCTATTCTCCACGCGACACTTAACTCGCCTGGCCATATCTGTACAGTACACTATACGATGTACAAGTTTTCTCATCACGCTGCGTCTGAAGGTGATAAAATTTAACTGGCTTTGATGAGGTAACTGAAAACAGTGTTGTGCCTTTGATGAGGTAACTGAAAACAGTGTTGTGCTTTAAGGCCTTCAGATGTGAATAGTATGTAGTTGCGGATTGTTAGAAAGGTTTATTTTTTGTTTCCTAAGTTATCATCTCATAAAAAAGCAATATTAAAAGTCTCAAGTTGATACCTCCACTGATTCACTAATAAATAAGCATACATGATGAAAAAAATGCTTCAAATTTAATAAAAATAAAGTTTTATCACAAAAGATATTTGTTAAGAATTATTTGATTTTTCTCTTAGAAAGACCAAATAATTTTTGATAATTAAATTGTGTTTTTATCCTTTTTAGTACCTTCGAAATTTTGGTTAAAAAGTTCGTTTTTCTTGCAGGTGAAAATTTGATGTATGGGGAAATTATAGCGTCTTGTTTAGCTTTGTAGAACCCAAATTCTACATTATTCTAATACCCAAAATAGTTGGATCAAATCTGTGCAAAAAGTGGATCACAGAACACTTTCAACTTTATACACCTTCAAAAAATCTCGAGCCCTCATTGGTTAATAACTATACAAGTAGGCGTGACTATCCACCCACGCTTAACTAATTTTTACAGCTCGTGACTGAAATCCAAGTTCGCGCCAAGTCTCTGTGAGTCACCCGAAGCAAATAAAAACAGAAACTCATTCACACTCGCCAGTGAGAATTGTGACATCAATCGAATTGCAACTAAACTTCACGTCACCCAATTTTATGTTTTTTCGTTTATACGATCATTACACAACTTAACGATATTAACACTCACTCATCAAAACTTATCAGTGAACTTTACTCTTATTCACTCACCAAATTCCTTTATGCAGAAGTTAAACAAATTCCTGCTAACAAATCAACTTATTTCTCTACATTCGAGAATATTGTATTACATAAGACCATCAACGGTAGATAACTTCTTTGATCACAAATTGCATTCAATTTTACAAACATTTACTACTTACATGTACAGTAAATTGTTTCTCTTGCAATTAATTTACGGAATCTTATATAACAGACTCTAACAACCTTTCGAATTAGAACTCATTAACAAAATTTAATCTTTCACCAAACTTGGGTTCAACATAAATTAAACTAACAAGATTTCCCCTAAAAGAATCAAGTATATTTTTGTAAAATTATATTTTCATTACGAAATACATTGAAAATTACTTGTTATTCAAATATTTGTCTTTTGTCTTCAATCACAAATGTTTCTTCTTGTTTTCTCTTGTTTTTTCATTTTTCTCAAAATATTCGTAGAATAAATAATTGTATGGATTGATTTGGGTCGTCAACACCATTAAATATGGTAACCACCAAACTTTCCACTACAGCTTCATAAAACACCCACCCCGTGTTAAAAATGCTTGAAAAAAGATGCTCAAAATGTTTTGAAATTAAAACTAAAATACCAAGAAAGATTTTGTTCATTTTTAAAAATGCATTTTAAACCCCAGGTGTCACTTTTCTTTGGCGGTACCTACATAAGGTAACATGACAGACTGAAAAAAGTAACATTGGGGGAAAATTGCAAATACAAGAACAAATCAACATGTACCTTTTTACAGAGAATGGAAGTAAACGAGAACAAGCCAAGGATGTAAAACTAGTAACATTTATTTAATATAATTAAAACAAAAAATTATTTTTGTGGCTTCGTTGGCAGATATAAAGAACTCACTTGAACATGATGGAAAAACACTACATTTTTCAAACATGTTACAATATGTAAAGTTCATAGATAAATTATGGTATTTTTTGTTTGTTTGTTTTAAAAAAAAAGCTAGTATGCTCTCATTTGGAGTAAACATTTTCTATTCTAGTGACGTGTTTTCGTGTGGCTGTCGGCTGTCTACGAGGCAAAGCTCACGTATTTTTTTTATTTTCTGGCGGTAGGATCGAAAGATTTATCTTTTGATTTGTGTCAAAGTGCTTCCAATTGGCTGAAAAAAACTTTTTCAGATAATTTTAATTTCTTATCTACAAACTGAAATGATGCGTAGAACGTCATGCACAGAACCTCAATTTGGTTCATTTTAGAGGAAACGCCACTAATTCGCTAAAAAAAGAGAAGACCGTGATGAAAAAAGGCTTCAAACTTGATGAAAACAATTTTTTATCGTCTAAATGTTTATCGTATTATTAAAATGCAAGACCAAAGTATTTTTTGATTATTTTTTACATTTTTTAATCTTTCCTAACACGTCCAAAATTTAAGTTAAAAATCTTGCTTTTTTTTATCTAAAATTACCATAAAATCGATGTTGTCCGCCATTTTTGAGAAATTTGTAAATAAAAGTTAAATTCTCCGTTTAAAAATCTTGTAAAAATCAATTATACCTTTTTTTTTTGTTGTTGAGTCGATTTTGTGAGCTTACGAATGTCTTTTGGTAAAATTGTTGTTGATATCTAGAATCAAGGCCTCCAAGAGAAATT